ATCCTCACATCCCTTTGCACGCATATCCACGTGTACCCATATCCCCTCATAATCATATCCCCTTGTACTCACATCCACTCGTACTCATATCCACCTGTACTTACTTCTTTTGTGCCCGTATACACCAACACTCATGCCAACTATTCTTTCATGATAGCGGCGAACTTCGAATTTTCCAAACCCAAGAAACCTTCCCACGAAAGAAAAATTAAAACAACGAGCAAAAGTCTAGGGAAATATATGAGTAGATGAGGGACTGTGTAACTGTTCTTTTCTTTTAAATGATATAATACAGTTTCCAGTGTAGTACTCTTGTATAAGCCTATGACCATGCATCAAATGTATCACAGCTTGCCCACGCCTTAGCAGTTACACAGGGTGGTAAATTAAGGACTAAACTACTGTAAACTCATATTCTTCATTGCATAGTAATAAGCGAACGGGTACATTATATATCACAGTGTCATGTTTTACAGCCTTTCAGACTATCTAACGTAAAGTACGGAGAATTATGAAACCATTTTATGTTTTCTGATATCTTAGAAAATATACTTAAGTTGGTAGAGGAGCAAATGAAAGACTGTGTAACTGTTCTTTTCTTTTAACTGATTTAGTCCAGATTATAGCGTTATAGCCTAAATTTCCAATGTAATACTATTAAAAGATGCTATGACCATGTATCAAAATGTACCACAAATGTCTAACTCTTGTGCAGTCAGCCTACAGGCTCGTATAAGTTGCAGTCTACGGACTTATGGGCCCAGCTAAAATATTTACAAGCATATATATCTATGTATGTATATGTGTATATATATGTATATATATATATATACATAAATATTCATATGTATGTATACATGTATATATAAATATATTTGTATCAATCAGTCAACGGAGCTTTTGCCGAGGGGGGCGCATACCCGCATCCATCCTTTGTTTCCAACCAAGGCCTCGGCCCATCTCTAGGTCATCACGGCGGGTCTGATCGACCTACCCAAGACACGGCTTCCTAGGTCGTCCCACCGGCCTCCTCCATTCAGGATTATCTTGTGAAGAGATATCCTAATGAACAGGGTCACCCGCTGGGAAACGAGCCGAGTTGGCGATCATGGAACATGTAGGTAACAGGTCCCATGCCAGTGTCATGGTGTAGTTGTCGGTTGGACCAAAGGCATCGAGACGTGATTCCAAGGCACTGGATAGTGTCCAGGTTTCGCTTCCATAAAGCAAAACTGGCAGTATCAAGGCCTTGAAGACACGTATCTTGGTCCTTTTGCATAGTTACTGGCACCTTATGGCTCCAGCTGCCAAACCAATCCGTCTGATGACTTTCTGGTCTGACAGCCCAGAGACATGAACTGCACTACCCAAGTATAGCTTTCTGTGACTTCGACTTCTACATCGCAAGTATGAATCAACTGAACAGGTTCCCCTAACAGGCCCCCCAAATCCTGGATCTTGGTCTTAGTCCAGAGCTCTAGGCCCAGGGGCTTTGCGTCATTGCTGAATGCATCAAGAGCTGTCACCAGAGATTCCAGAGACTCAGACAGGATAGCAACATCGTCGGCAAAGTCAAGGTCCGTGCCTTTGATATTGCCCAGTGTTGCTCCACATAGACTTTGGATAGTAACCCTGCCCATTATCCAGTCCATACATGTATTGAAGTGTTGGTGCAAGGATACAACCTTGCCTCGACCTTGAACTAACAGAGAAGCTCGACAGGCCCCCACTACACTTTACAACACTTTTAGTACCATTATGCAGGCTTGCTATTAGTTCAATAATCCGTGTTTGAAGTCCGCTTAAGTCTCAGGATCTCCCCTGGCGATTTGCAGTGTACAGAATGAAATGCTTTCTTGAGATCAGTGTACGCTGCAAGCAGCCCACGGCCGAATCACGTCAGCGTTCAACAATGACTCGAAGCACTTGGATATGGTCTATTGGGGACTTGCCTAGAGTAAATCCAGACTGCTCCAGTCTTTGGATCCGTTTCAGAAAGATGTGGATGAAAACCTTGCCTGGTATGCTAAACAGTACAATGCCAGGGTAGTTGCTACAGGTCCCAACGATCCCTTTTTCCCTTCCAGAGAGTGATGACCATACCCCTCAACAGGTTCGAGGGAATGGAACCAGACTGCAAGAATCTAGGACTGTATACAAGCCCCTTAATATAGGTTCATTCCCATCCTTTAGCGGTTTGGCAGGGATTTCGCATATACCTGCAGCCTTCCCACTTTTCAGCTTGGGTTCCTCACTAATAAGGGAATCCGGTACAGGAATTGTGACACCACTAACGTCCGGACTAAGTGCTGGAAGATCTACCTGATACAGTTGATAAAAATAATCATCCCATTGTCCACAAACCGCACTATGATCTGCATTCATCTATGAGGATGCCTTGCAGTTCAGTTTTCTCAGAGCTTGGAAGGCAGGACGGAGGTCATTTACTATGAAATGGCCTTCAACCTCCTCAGCAAGATTCCTGATGTACTGCTCCGAG